CAATAGCTACCGAGTTATTACTTGCCAATTTTTAATTCCCCTATGATATTAATGAAACTGATAGGCGCAAAACAAGAAAGGATAAAATAATTGTCGGCCCACTGATGGCTTCAAAAAATGCGATGATGAAACAATAGCTGATCTAATTGCCAAAGTGTGTTCACACCCTAAATTCATTTTATCCTTCCCTACTGGAAATTTTGTGCATGTTTTGTCTGTTTGTATAACCCTCATCAGTTTTTCTGTAAGCTACGCTCGAATGAGGAATCCATTGGCAGTTTTACCAGCGTGTGGTTGCTGTTGGCATTCGCTACTTTTGGAATACTTCCGAATCCATTCCTCTTTCATAGAGAGCGAATATAATGGAGTGAATTCTGATTCAGAAATCTCGCATTCAGGGCGGATACCTCACAGGAAACGAAGACTAATGGGTCAGCAATTTTGGACCAGGAGGCGGCTGAAAGTTCGAATGTTGTTCCTGCGTCAGAAGATGAAGCGGTCTCAGCGCAGTCTACTTCCAGCCCGCACCTCCCTGCCACGCGTGCAATGGAACCAGATGAATCAACAGCAAAAACAACGTTAGCTTCACGCATTTTTATCGCTCCAGTATTCCCACATGGCCAAGAAGCCTTTTTGGCTTTCGTACAGTAAGATTACCGTAGCTTTTGTCTTTGATGAAGAAAAAATGGAAGGAAAGTGCCAGAAAGGTGACCGTTGATCCTGAGTGTGACTGGAAAAATGTAAGCGGCTTTTATTGAGAATAAGGATTAGCAGCAGACAGTGAATAAGCTTTTTGCGTATAGGAAACGTTTCCGAATTTATTTGTAGCGCAGATTACGGCGGGCCACCTAAAAATTGCTGGTATATCATCAGGATTACTCGGGTTCTCAAAGTACTATCGTGGATGTTGATGAGCATACTGCTATGCGAGCATGAGCGAAAAGTATCGAATTAAATTTCCTTTCATTATTTTTATAATATTTTTTGGGGCTGCAGGCCGAATATCTACCCCGGTGAGCAGTTGAGTGCTATGCAAACAGTTTTCGAGCCGCCACCATCCTACAGCGAAGCAATAGGAGAACGTGATGGTGCCACTGTACATCCCACAACTGCCTGGAAACCGCCTGCAGTGTCAATGAAAACCAGGTAGTGCTCATTCTCTTCAGTTTTTCGAATTTTGATCATTAACTGCCACATCAGCTTGCTTGTAAACAGCCTTTAGTCACGTTAAACAAAGTATGAACTGCTGCGCAAAAGCAGTTTGAAAATATATATACTTACGATTTGGTTTACCAGCCTGGAATAAATCATGAAATTTATGACTGTGAGCTATTGGGTTTGTTGATATTGGACTGTGGGCTGTAACGGCTTATAGTGATGCGTGAGGCCTTGAAATGTGACAGCTAAAATATCACGATTTGTAGTATTCAAAATGATGGAGATAGTGCGTCTGATTTCTTCAACAACCCAAAACCTCATGATTTTCCCTTGACAAGACGTGCATAGAATAAAATTTTGGTTGCTTATTTGGAATTATTGGTTCATAGTTTGCTTTTCCAGTTGGTGACTTTTCAGTTCCTTTAACTAGTGCTGCATCACTTAGTGGTCAGCTTGCTGGCAGTTGTGATGTTCATTCCGTCTCACAGTTCTCCCATCAAAAGTACCTGATAAAGCCTTTTGCATTTCGAAATGCCTTTGGGATGTGTTGAGCATCATTACCTCGTCTTTAAATGCAGCTAATGCTACACGGCGATGAAGCATCGCACCGATTTTGAGGGTTTGAGTATATTTAGTTAAAATTAAATCTGTAGAAGTGCTGAAGTGGATGGACGCGCCATGCAAATTTATCCATCTCTACGCTTGGAAACGAACGAATACGGATTGTTGACAGAGAATCAGTTATCAGCATTTTATCACAATGACCTGTATGAAACTGCAGAAGATTTTGTGGAGCAGTTTTTGACAGTAAGTGTTCTTTTGTGATAGTACCCAGCTCCTTTTTCTGTATTCGTTCCTTGCCAGTTTTGTGACTGTGACTCAGCCAGATGAACAAGTACGTCTACCAAGTGGTGCTAAAGTCAGGTTAAAAATTGAATTTTAGTGGAACATCGGCCCTTCTGCTATTCATTCGTTCGTTTTCGTGGTAAATTAATAGTGACGCACGCCAAAGAGTCAGATTACCATCATCTGTCGTTTTAAGTAATCTTCGAGAATAGAAGCCCTCGTAGTTCGCTCCTTGTGAAATACAACTGTTTGTGTTGTGGGTATTTCCATCATTTATTGATATTCTGAGTGTTAGTACAGCCAGATTTTAAGTAGAATGGGTGGTGAGACATGGTTATCGCGCTTGTTGATCGGAGAGAATAACCTCCGTAGGGAATGGTAATTTTTCACAGTTTTGCCTCTTCTGACCATCAGCGAAACAGTTGGC